TGGAAGCGGCGTTGTGGCTCAAGTGGTAGAGCGCTAGCCTTGAGCTGAAGAGCTGAGAGACAGTGCCCAGGCCCAGAGTTCAGGCCCCATGACCAGACCCCTCCCACAATTTTTTTTTTAAAATTTCTTTTCCTTTTTTCCTTTCTCCCCTCCCTCCTTGCCAGTTCTGGGGCTTGAACTCAGGGCCCGGGCACTGCCCCTAAGCTCCTTTTGCTCAAGGCTAGCACTCTACCACTTGAGCTACAGTGCCATTTCTGGTTTTTTCTGTTTATGTGATACTGAAGAATCAAACCCAGGGCTTCATGCATGCTAGGCAAGTACTCTACTGCTCAGCCACATTCCCAACAAGGAAACATTCTTTTTTTGTTGTTGTTGTTATTTTTTTTGTCGGTCGTGGGGCCTGAACTCTGGGCCTGGGCTCTGTCCCTCAGCTCTTCAGCTCAAGGCTAGTGCTCTACCACTTGAGCCACAGTGCCACTTCCGGCTTTTTTCTTTTTGCTTATGTGGTGCTGAGGAATCGAACCCAGGGCCTCGATCATGCAAGGCAAGCGCTCTACCACTGAGCCACCTTCCCAGCCCTCTGTAAGCAGATTTTAATAAAACAATATAAAAATCCAGCCAGTTTGAAAAAAATACATTATCAATGTTAGGTATATACCATGTTAGCAATTAAGGGACTAGACCGGGTGCTGGTGGCTCATGCCTATAATCCTAGCTACTCAGAAGGCTGAGATCTGAGGATCACGGTTCAAAGCCAGCCCAGGCAGGAAAGTCCGTGAGACTCTTATCTCCAATAAAACACCAGAAAACTGGAAGTGGTGCTGTGGCTCAAGTGGTAGAATGCTAGCCTTGAGCTGAAGAGCTCAGGGACAGTGCTCAGGCCCAGAGTTCAAGCCCCACAACCAAAAAAGGGGGCGAGAGGGGACTGGGAAGTAGCTCAGTGGCAAAGCACTTGCCTAGCACGTGCAATGTCCTGGGTTCAATCCCCAGTGCCAAAAAAGAAAAGACCCCCCCCCCCCAAAAAAAATACTGTGGAAAAAAAAAGACAGAAGATGCCATTGATAACTAAAAGAAAGGCTAAAAAAAAAAAAAAATCTTCCCTCATAAGGAACTAACCCAGGCAACATCTCAGATTCCAGACTTCAGACATTTCAGAAAACAGACTTTGGTTGGTTATATCACCTGGTCTACAAAAATTTGTTGTGGTTGTCCTAGCGAAACAATACAGGCAGGTAACTGGTCCCTACTAGTCACCTATCACATTTCCTATATTATAGACTCTAAGAGCCAAGGGAAGACAGAGGGTGAAGGTGGTCGAAAGTTAAATCACAGCAGGTAGTGATCTGCAACCTGATTCTAGACATATCTAACACCAGTATGTCTATTCTGCATTACAGGGACTGCATTTCTTTCCTTTTTTTTTTCTTTTTGTGGGTTGTGGGGCCTGAACTCTGGGCCTGGGTGCTGTCCCTCAGCTCTTCAGCTCAAGGCTAGCACTCTGCCACTTGAGCCACAGTGCCATTTCCGGCTTTTTTCTGCTTATGTAGTGCTAAGGAATCAAACCCAGGGCCTCATGCATGCAAGGTAAGCACTCTTACCACTGTGCTACATTCCCAGCCCCCAGGGACTGCATTCTGAGATCACTGAAGTTATCAGGTCAGACAACTTGACATTATAGTTGGTATATCTGAGGTATATAACAACTCTGGCCTGATGGTATCATCTTGGGACAGTCTTAGGCCCTGGGAGCTCAGTAGTTAATCATATAAATTCAGCAGTTGAATAAATATATTACGAGTCACTACCCTAAGCTTTTCATTCTATTTAACAAGCTAAAGTGCCTTAAAATAGGTAAGGATGCTGTCAGCCAGAGGACTGGAGTTATGAAGTGACAGCTCACAAATGGGAGGAACACTTAACTGCACAATGTCTGCTGTACTTCCTTAGGTCCCTCTGCTAAAAGAAGCCAAGTAGAAGCCAGGCACTGGTGGCTCATGCCCATAATCCTAGCTACTCAAGAGGCTGAGATCTGAAGATCATGGTTCAAAGCCAGCCCTGGCAGGAAAGTCCATGAGACTCTTATCTCCAATTAACCATTAGAAAACTGGAAGTGGTACTATGGCTCAAGTGGTAGAACCATATATCAAGATTCCCCAACTGGGGCTGGGAAGGTGGCTCTGTGGTAGAGTGCTTGCCTCGCATGCATAAGGCCCTGGGTTTGATTCCTCAGCACCACATAAGCAGAAAAAGATGGAAGTGGCGCTGTGTTTCAAGTGGTAGAGCAATAGCACTGAGCTGAAGAGCGCAGGACAGCACCCAGGCCCAGAGTTCAAGTCCCACAACCAGCAAAAAAAAAAAAAAAAAGATTCCTCAATCCCTCTAGGCATGCATGCTTGCCTAGTATTCACAAAGCCCTGGGTTTGATTCCTTAGTACCACATAAACAGAAAAAGCCGAAGTGGTGCTATGGCTCAAGTGGTATCCTTAGCAAAGGAAGTTCAGGGACAGTGCCCAGGCCCTGAGTTCAAGCCCCAGGATTGACAAAAAAACAAAACAAAAAACCACACTGGGCATGTTGTAAATACGTATATACCATATATGAAGCCATAGGTTCCTTTACCACCACTGTCCAAGCTCCTAAAAAGATAACACTCCCACATCATCCAATGGTCCATCTCTCAGACACTGAAGATTAACCTAAGTCACCAGATGTCTGCCACCCTGTATGCCAGGGAACTGCTTAAATTGGTCCATCTGGCAGGAGACAATAGATGCTCAAAACTACAAAGAAATCACAAATAAATGAACAAACTCTACAAGACACTTGATGTATATGTGACCCTAGATAAGACACAGTATCTCCAACTTTGTTTTCTCATCTGGAAAACAGTAAAAGGTGTTATACTGAATATGTTAACATGTGCAATGGTAGAGCATTAGCCTTGAGTTGAAGAGCTGAGGGACAGTGCCCAGGCCCAGAGTTCAAGCCCCATGACTGACCAAAAAAAAAAAAACTGGCTGTTCACACAAATAACTTATTGATGCTTTATAACCCTTGTCTTGACAAGTATTATCACTGGGGAAGTATTAGGACCCTGCTGCTTCATACTATTCAGGAGACAGTAAGCTGTAGGATGTGTGGGGAGCTGCCAGCCTTCAGTTGCTACTTCTAAGATCTTCCCCAGCACTTCCTTGAGGCCAGCCTCCAGAAGCTACCAGCCAATGACTGCCCTCAATGGGAATACTGAATGAAGTTAGGTCACTTCTGTCTCACAGAAGCCATCTCTATCTGGCTGAGACATCCCTAAAGCTGCCAGTGTGAGCTGCTCAACCCTCTTCTCATTCTCCCCTTCTTTCCCCAATCAGATCATCCCAGACTGAGCTTTCCTGTCTATTTCTGTTCCCTCACTATTATCCTTCATTTCCATTTCTCCAAGAAATCTAATTGTCTTAGAATCTATACCTCAGAGGACTCAAACAACACCATCCCCCCCCCCTTTTTTACACAAAAACTATGTATTGAGTTGGGCACTAGTAGCTCACATCTATAGCCTAACTGCTCAGAAAGCTGAGATCTGAGAATCTTGGCAGACAAATCCAAGAGCCTCTTATCTTTAATTAACCACAAATTAAAAAGCAGGAAGCTCACTGGTAGAATGCCAGATGTGACTGTCAAAGCAAAGCACAAATAAGCCTATATCAGCACACATACATAAAGTGTTCATACACTTCTTTTTTTTTCTTTTTTGGCAATACTGGGCTTTGTACTTGGCTACAAAGGCCCTCTTACTTCTTCTTTTTTTTTTTTGGTCTGGTCGTGGGGCCCGAACTCTGGGTCTGGGCACTGTCCCTCAGCTCTTCAGCTCAAGGCTAGCACTCTACCACTTGAGCCACAACGCCACTTCCGGCTTTTTCCTTTTTGCTTATGTGGTGCTTAGGAATCGAACCCAGGGCCTCGGGCATGCAAGGCAAGCACTCTACCACTGAGCCACCTTCCCAGCCCCAGGCCCTCTTACTTCTAAGGCATGTATTCAACCTTATGTATCTGCTTATGTGTGTGCATGTTGACACACTTTGTAATGTTAAACTTAATACTAGATATTCAGGATTAATAATCCTAGAGACTAAGTCTCTTTTAGAGAAGAGGGATAAATGACCATGAATATGGTTGAACAGTTTTAAAAAGGAGGTTATAGAGGTAAAGGAGAGTGATAAGAGGGGGTTGAAATTAATTAGGATATGTTTATATATAAGTGAAATGTCCCAGAGAATCCTTCCCTTTCACAACTAATGTATACTAATTTAAAAAGGGGGGGAAGGGAGCCAGACACCTGTGGCTCATGCCTATAATCCAAGCTATTCAGGAGGCTGATACCTGGGGATCAAAGTTTGAAGCAAGTCTGGGCAAGAAAAGCCATAAGACTCTTATTTCTAATTAACCACACACACAAAAAAAAGATGTAAAAATGTGGCTCAAGGGGCTGGGAAGGTGGCTAGTGGTTGAGCGCTTGCCTTGCACGCATGAGGCCCTGGGTTCGATTCCTCAGCACCAAATAAGCAAAAAGAAAAAAGCCAGAAGTGATACTGTGGCTCAAGTGGTAGAGTGATAGCCTTGAGTTAAAGAGCTGAGGGACAGCACGCAGGCACAGAGTTCAGGCCCCACGACGGGACAAAAAACAAACAAACAAACAAAAAACAAAAACAACTGTGGCTCAAGTTGTAGAGCACAAGCTTTGGACAAAACAGCTCAGGGACAGTACTCAGGCCAAGTTCAAGCCCCAGGCTAACACACACACACACTCCCTCAACATACTTGTACATATACAGATACACACACACAGTGCCAGAGGCTATAAAAGAAACAGTCACACGTTAGCAATCCAACAAATGACTGATGAATGAGAACAACTTCATACAGACCTCCAGCTCAAATCACTCCCTTACTGACCTCTAAGATAAAGGCCCACAGTCCCTCCATAGCCTCAAGCTAAAGTAGAGTACCTGGCAGTTCATGTTGTCCTCTGCTTCAATAAGCTTTCCTCGATATACCTCACCGGTGTTTGTCTCACATGTAACAATATGGCCCTCAGCTTCATGCAGGACTTTAATTGGCACACCAATCGACATCTTGGCAGGAAGAGTGCTATAATGAGAAAGACAAAAAGCCATCTTATAGAGACTGAAAAAGCCTGGCATTCCACAAAACCAAAACTAAAAGAGAAAAACATCATAGTGTTATCATGCTATAAGCAGAAAATGATCATGGAAAAGGAAGAACCACCAGTGCTTGACTTGTTCTCATTAAGAACCTTTTATTGAGAAGATTGAAATCATCGTGTGTGTTTAAGAGACCAAGGGGAAGACGAGGTTGGCTCCTTCGGTGAGGATCCATGGCTTTCAGCCACGAGTTCGGATTTTATACTGAAGCCAGTGAGGGAACACTGCAAGATCCGGTGAAAAAGCAGTCGCATTTACAAGATGGATGGAACATACAAGTTTAAAAGTCGAGTAACTTCTAACGCCTGCAGCAGCGAGGCACGAGGAGACAGGAAAAGATACAGATGCACAGGGACTTTTCGGAGAAAGAGAAAATCTGCGAGGAACGATTTCACGATGATTTGCCTGGATGCTTCGAAAAACGCTGACCCAGAGAGTTACAGTGTGAAAAACCACATATTTGGGGAGCAAACCAATAACCGTTCCCAAAGCTAGAGAAGCGATGGCAATGTTTGGGTGCCCGAGACTTCCCGCCCTCCTCCCTCTCCCAGCCCCGCTGAGCACCAGCCTCTCCCGCTCCCAGCCCCAAGGCTTCCTCTTGCCCGCCCTCGGTCTCCTCTGGCCGCCCTCGGCCTCTCCTCACCGACTGAGGCCTACACGCCTACTCTTCGGTTCTGGGACAAATGTTGCGACGGCGAAAGCGTGAGGCAAGCGAATGGCGGGCCCCGCGCTCCCAGAATGCCAAGCGTTCCCAAAATGCCGTGCGCAGGGCCCGCCCCTTTCCTTTCGCCCAGCTAGAAGCGCGGTCTGATCTACGCCACTGCCTCACCTCGCCGGCTAGGAAACATGGGCTCGGGCACTGCAGTTCCGGTGTCCGGAGACAGCAGATAACGGCGGGCGGGGCTGCCGGAAACCTCAACCCGTGAGCCGGCGAGGAGATGGGGATGCTTGCACTTCCAAACACCCCACACCAAGGACCGGCTGGACAGCAAGGCGGAGATCCGGGGCTTGGACCCTCGACTCGGGAACGAGAGGATGCGGGACTGAGGGCCAGGGCCTCCCCTCACAAGTTACCCTGTGGATCCTGTCATCGTCAGGTAAGGGGCATCTTAAGCAAGGAAAAATATAGACAAAGCAAACTGAGATGTAGAGTGTAGCCGAGCCCGGCTCGGAACAAATAAAGACCGCTAGAGAAAGGTTGCCTGGAGCCTCTATAAAACATTAGACAGAATCAGACACCTGGGGTGGCAAGCAAACAAGTCTGGAGATGGAAAGGGGAAGAGTCACTAAAGAGTCTGCGTTCACGCGCGCCCGGCCCTCCGGGCGGAGTTGAGAGAAAGGGGTGTGGCTTCCTGGGAATACGTCAGGGAAGGGCCTGCGAATCAGAGCGAGGATTGAGAAAGAGGGCGGGACCGTCTAAAAGTCGAGACTGTGAATGGCAGGGACAGGCATAAATCAGGAGGCTGGGACCTCTAGGAACCGAAGTTTGGGGCAGGGAAAGGGCGGGCTTAAGTAAGGAGCGGAGCCTCAGGTCTGGAAGGGCCGGGGCGGGGCTTGGGGCGGCCCAGCCGCCGCCTCCCCTTCTATCCACCACGGTGGCGCCCCAGGAATCTGACACGCACCGGCCGCGTTCCCAGCGCAGCCGAAGCCGAAGCTGCAACCTGCGCCGGGTTGGGGCCATGGGCGCCCCGCGCCACTCGGGTCATGAGGACGCAGGCGGAGGCAGCAGGGTCGCCGCTCGAGCCCGGTCAGTGCCTCCCTGAGGACCCAGCCCTCACCCCGGGGACCGAGGGGGACCCGCCCTAACGCAGGGCAGGGTTCGGCCGCGCGACCTTGGGCCGACTTCGGCCTCAGCCCTGACTAAGAAGCTTCGAGCATGAACCTAGCCAGGAGGACACCTCTGCCTGGGCTCCCTCTTTCTACCTTAGTTCATTTGGGGTTTCCTGATTCTCCCAGGACTGAAATGCCTTATGGCGGCCTTGTGGGAAGGTCTGGATGGCCCTGGCGTCACCTTTCCCAGAAGCGAAAAGTCCTGTTTTGGGAGAGCCTTCCCCTCTGGGATCTATGAAGATCCTGAGGCCGAGAATCCGAGAGAACTGTCCTATAGCTCTGGGCAATGGGAGAGTCTTTTCACGACTTCCCAGACTTGGCCGCTTGTTTGGCTGGCTACAGATCTTCACTTTAGGATTCCTTCTGTATCAAGGGGTCAGAGCCCTTTGCTTGTCCAAGAAGTGGAGAAAGGAGGAAGTCATAATTCTTGCTGTGCTTAAGGCACAGGTTTGATGTTACTAACTGTGAGATAAGTGAACATCTCAGGAAAGAGATCAAAAGCTACCTGGATCCTATCCCTAAGGTGTTAATAGGACAGTAACATCACACCTGAGGAGTAGTCTCTTTTATGATTACAGAATGGAATTGAGCCTGAACCTGTACTGGGATTTACAGCTCTACTCTTCTAATTTCCTAACTCTCTCATCTTTTATAAGCTATTTGCCTTTCCTGAGCTTCAGCCAGTAATGGTTCACACTTGTAGGGAGCTAAGAGACAGGCACTGTGCTAAATTGTCTATATGTCGTTATTTTTTTTCTTTTTTCTTTTTTCTTTTGGTCGGTCGTGGGGCTTGAACTCTGGGCTTGGGCGCTGTCCCTGTGCCCTTCAGCTCAAGGCGAGCACTCTACCGCTTGAGCCACAGCACCACTTCCAGTTTTCTAGTGGTTTTATTGGAGATAAGAGTTTCACGGACTTTCCTTGCCCTGGCTGGCTTTGAACCGCGATCCTCAGATCTAAGCCTCCTGAGTAGCTAGGATTACAGGCGTGAGCACTAGCACCTGGCTGTCTGTTATTTTTCTTAGTTAAGTAATTACTGCTGTTATTTGCACTTTTGCAGGTGAGCAAATTGAGGCTTAAAGAGGTTAAGTGTTCAAGAACAGTCTTCCTTCCCTAATGACAGCTGAACTAAGCCAGGACTTTCTTTTTGTTTGTTTCTAGTTTAATTTATTATTTTTTATTGTCAGGGTGGTATACAGAGGGAGTTTCAGTTACATAAGTAAGGTAAAGAGTACATTTCTTGCCAACCTTGTTACCCCTTCCCTCAATTTTCTCCTACTTTTCATCCTCCCAACACCTCCCCCCAAGTTGTACAGATCATCTCTAACATTTTGTTTTGTGTATCTCACTGTTAGATTGGTTGCCCCCTTGTCCTTTGTCTGTTGTTCTCCTTCCCTTCCCTAATTCAAATAAACATATACATAATACCAGGGTGCCAAAATCAAACACAGTTACAACAGAGGATATACCATAGGGGGAAGAACATACAAAAGAAACAAAAAAACCACATAGTACATTAAAAACAACAACAACAAAGAAAAACATCTGTGCCCATGTCTTGGAGTTCATTTCCTTAGGATCATCTTATATGGTCATAGCTAGTGAGCTACTCTGCTCCTCTGCTAAGATTATCCTAGAAATACACTGGCTATTGCAAATAAGGGAAACCATGAGACCTATGTTTCTTTGGGTTTGGCCTACTTCACTTAACATGATTTTTTTCCAAGTCTTTCCATTTCCTTATGAAGGGGCAGTCATTCTTTCTGATGGAAGCATAGAATTCCAGTGTGTGTGTGTGTGTGTGTGTGTGTGTGTGTGTGTGTACTCGACATGGTGACTTTCAGTTTTCTCCATTTTCCTGCAATGACATAATTCTTGTTTGTTCTTGTGTTTTATGTTTTTTTTCTTTTTTAAAAAATTATCTTAAAGTAGTGTAAAGCCAGGACTTTCTTAACAGATGGAGTAGTCCCTTGGCTCTAAACATCAACATCTGGCAGTGGCTTTGGTCTCTGAGGTCTATATTTATCAGAATAAATGCCAAAGCCTCACCTAACCTTATCAATCCCCACAGTTACATCTCCCTCTTACTACATGCTAACCTGCTGTGTCAAGACAGGGAGGGCTATGTGGTCATGTTTATCCTGTGGGACCTCAGGACAAAGGGGTTCCAGGGCTCATGAAGGGTAGCTAAGTTTGCCAGGGACCTAGCAACTGTCCTGTACCATATTTTGTAGCTGGCCATAGAAGACATAGACAAGGTCAAAGTCTGGCAGAAGAGGGCCCAATTAGTGCCAGAGCCCAGCCACGGTATAGAGAGGGAATCCTTAACTTCCTAGGGGTAGTTTAGAAGCCTGGGGCAGAGGAAACTGCAGTGATATCTAGTCCGGATCATGTCAAAGGTTAAGGCCTAGGTAGGCATCAGTGGCTTACACATATAATCCTAGCTGCTCAGGAGGCAGAGATCTAAGGAGTGATGTTCAAAGCCAGCACTGGCAGGAAAGTCCCTGAAACTCTTATCTCCAATTAACCAGCAAAAAGCCGAGTGGAGCTGTGATTCAAGTGATAGAGTGCTAACCTTTGGCAAAAAATCTAAAGGACCTGTAGCACCCAGGCCCTGGGTTCAAGCCCCAGTACTGGGGGGGCAGGGGGGGGGCGGGGAAGACGAAGACAGAAAGGAAAGAAAACTATAAACGTGTCTGAATACTCCTAGCTGACAGGAAGGCAAATGCAATCCTGTCCCCACCTGCCACCATAGAATTCTCTGTCCAGTGGGAAAACATGTAATACCTTAAGGACTCCACATTGAGGGGCCTTCAGAGGGAGAGAGACTAGATAGAACATTTGGATGTTCAGAGATGGGACAGAAATTTCCAGAGTTAAGGGTTCAGCAAGAGCAAAAGCTGTGGAGTAGAGAAAAGCAAAAAGTTGTATACAGTCACAATGAGGGATCTGAAAAGGGAAGACATCTACCCTGACAGCACTACATCTTGCAAAGAGCTCTTTTCCACTAGAACATTATGGGGAACTATTTTAGAATATAAGTCCCTGGAGATCAGGGTTTGAGTTTCCAGTCATCTTTGTGTTTTCAAACCTAGTATACAGTGAGTGCTTAATAAGTGGAAAGTCCAGGATCAAAATGCCACCATGTTCTGTGTCTTTTTTTTTTTTTGGTCAGTTGTTGGATTTAAACTCTGAGCCTGAGTGTTGTCCCTCAGCTCCTCAGCTCAAGACTAGCACTCTACCACTTGAGCCACAGTGCCACTTCTGGTTTTCTGGTGGTTTATTGGAGATAAGAGTCTCACAGACTTTCCTGCCCGGGCTGGCTCTGAACTCTGATCCTCAGATCTCAGCCTCCACAGTAGCTAGGGTTACAGGCGTGAGCCACTGGTGCCTGGCTTGGTCTGAGTCTTATAAAGGCCCATTCTTCATGATAGTTCTTCATCCAAATGTCTTCACCTGGCAGGAAGGGATGGGAAGGGGAGAGATGCCACGTCTTCACATAGTAGATCAGAAGGGCTGGGGAGACCTAATCTGTTCCTAACTCACTCCCACAAAGGTCTCATCTCTTAATAGTACTGCAGTGGGGAATTATGTTTCAATGTAAATTTTGTGTGAGGCTGGGGAAGCACCCTCAAGCCATGTCATTATCCCTCGGGAAGCTTAAAAATCTAGTGGGAGAAAGAGTAGCTTCTCTTTCATTGTTACTTTCTCTAAGCAATGAGGAAGAAAAAAAAATATGTCACGGTGGAGGACACTCTTCATGACAAAGCCATAGTGAGGGGAAAGAGAACACACCAGATTTGGATCTGGGGACCTCAGTGACAACAGCAATGGGAAGAGAGGAATCCAGACCGGGTGGCAAACATGGAAAGGCACTAGACTAGAAAGAAGGTATAGGGTTCACAGAGCAACTGGAATGCAGAGG